TTTCAGTAATGAAACAATCAGCTAAATGATTTGAAACAATGCGTCTTACAGCCAGTGGAACAGACTGAGCAGTAAATTGTGTGAATATTTGGTAGGTATTTAGAAGACCATCAGACATAGGAACAGAACTAAGTCATTTGATTCTTCAAGTCTGATCATGGCCCACACTTTCCCACCGTTTCCCCAACACTTGCTTCTCTTACAGATTCAAAAAAACGATCTGTTTCAGCCTTGAATATATTTAATGACCCAACACTTTCAGCCAGGTTTGTTGACTTTCTCCAGCATGTTCTGATAAATTCACTGCAACAGTTTATCTTGTAAATAATGTAAACAGCCAATAAATGCTTTTCTTTAGATTAAAGCAGCAAGGTTTCCAGTTCTTTCATTGGAAACATGTAGTGCTCAAACATCATCATAATCCCTATGTGTTAATTTCAAAAGTACTGAGAGTACTGGAATAAAGGTCCTGTGAAGTCAATCTTGGTTCCCTGAATTGTGAACATGTCATGTTGTGTATTGACACTTCTTATAGAGCAGAAGTCTAATGGCAAAATTTATAGTCTGTGTTTTGCAAGTTAGCTAATGAGAGCCAGTGGTCGTGACCTGTTTGGATTTCCAGAAAGCCTTTAACAAGGTGCTGCACTGGAGACTGCTAAATAAGCTAAGATCCCACTGTGTTAGAGGCAAGGTACTGGCACGGATATAGGATTGGCTGACCAGCACAAGGCAGAAAGTCGGGATTAAGGTATCTTTTCCAGGATGGCGGCTGATGACTAGTGGAGTTCCGCAGGGGTCAATATTGGAAGCACAACAGTTCACATTATACATTAACAATCAGAATGCAGGAACTGAAGACAGTTTTGCGAAGTTTGCAGATGACACAAAGATAGGTGGAGGGACAGGTAGCATTGAGGAAGTGGGAAAGCTGCAGAAGGACTTGGACTGGTTAGGAGAGCGGGTGAAGAAGTGGCAGATGGAATACAATGTGGTAAAGTGTGTGGTTATACATTTTGGTAGGAGAATAGATGCATAGATTATTTTCTAAAAGGGGAAAGGCTTTGGAAATCTGAAGCAGAAGGGGAGTTAGGAGTCCATATCTGGTTTCTCTTGAAGTAACCATGCAGGTTCTGTTGGCAGTTAGGAAGGCAAATGCCATATTTGCTTTCATTTCAAGAGAGCTGGAATACAAGAGCAGACATGTACTGCTGAGATTACGTAAGGCTCTGGTCAGACCACATTTGGAATATAGTGATTAGTTTTGGGCCCTGTATCGAAGGAAAGATGTGCTGGTATTGGAGGGATCCAGAGGAGGTTTGCAAGGATGATCCTGGGGGTCCTTATTGTATAAGGAGCAGGTGAAGACTAAGTCTGTACTTAATGGAGTTTAAAAGAATGAGAGGGATCTGATTGGATCTGTGAGGCCTGGATTGAGTGGACATGGAGAAGATGTTTCCACTGGTAGGAGAGACTAGGACATGGGGGCACAGCTCAAAGTGAGGGGATGACTGTTTAGAATTGAGATGAAGAGGAATTTCTTCAGCCAGAAGGTGGTTGATCTGTGGGACTCATTGCTGCAGAGCGCTGCGGAGGCCAAGTCATTGAGTGTATTTAAGTCAGAAATAAATGGGTTCTTGATAAGTAAGGGGCTAAAGGGTTATGGGGAGAAGGCAGGAGAATGGGGTTGAGAAACATATATCAGGCGTGATTGAATGGTGGAGCAGACTCAATGGGTCAAACAGCCTGTATCTGCTCCTATATCTTATTATCCTTTTGTCTAATTTATAACATTGATGGGACCACAAGTCATGGGCACAGGGAGTCAGCAACATCATTGATACTCCTGATGAAATGCTTGTAATTTTTTCAACATCAGATAAGGTGGAGAGATTGCAGTATCCGACCAGCTCCAGTTGTATATCGTGGTCAAGTCTCCAACTTGAAACTTGATCCACTATTGGCCACTTTGCAGGTTGCCAAGATGGAAATTAACTCAGTCAAGCTAACTGTTTGTAATATTTCACCACAAATTCCTTTTCTAACATTACCATACCACCTGTGACAGATAATTGTGAATTTTTTGAAAGAAATATAAATATTCACATTGACAACTGCACATCAATGGACAATTTTTTTTATATATATAACTGAAAGAATGGCCTACTTGTCCTTCCTGATGTACATTGGTTGATGCATTCTGCCTGCCTGTTTATTATCCACCAGCATCTAATTTAAATTGCACTGTGAGACAGAATAAAGAACTCCCACAAGAAATAGGCACAGAGACAGTAATATTCATTTAGCATTTTCTAATCACATACCAATATCACTGGTGCAGCATGCCCTGAAAATGTCAATAATTGCAGAAAAAACATGAGCCAAGTATTTGTAAAAAGCACATCTTGCCATCACATGTGCACCAACGCAATCTACTGGCTTTGATTTGGTTCTCTGAAAGACCATTCCATCAGTTTGTTTTCCAAGTGTTAAAGATGACAATCTACCTCATCAAAACTGTCCTCCTGTAATCTTTTAAAAGGGAATCTCTTTTTCAATTCTCCAATCTTATATCCATTTCAGAACTAAGTCCGTGATTAATTCAAAATTGAAAATGGTAATTATATATAAATGGACGACCCTCGATTTCTATTTAATGATGCAAATGCCATTGTGTTCACGGTGTGCAATTATTGACAACCCCAATCCTTCCATCAATTTGCATTTCACCATTTAAGGTTCCCAGTGGTGAGCCATGAGATTAATAGTCAGATCATATCGTCTTGTCAGAACATGAGGAAAAGATCAATATATTTAATAACAAAATACAAATATCATCAGCTCATGTAATGACACCAGAGGGGAGAGAATTCATTAATGTGATTTGTGTTGTTTGTAGAAGCATGCATATAACTTAGTACATATATTTTATCCTCTGAAAACTGTGAATCTTGTAGCTTCAGTTGCTGAGGTTATCTCCTTGCACTTAATAGTATTAAAATTTCAAGATTTGGTTTTGTTTGCCCTGATTTAAATTCAAAAGTGGACTTATGACAACAAGCAGTTTACTAATGAGCAGGAAAAGATGTTGTTTCTAATCAGCACAGACAAACTTGGTTAATGCACTGTTGGAAGGAATAATCTGTATCTCTTGAATTCATGAAAAGTTGAACATTTTCAGTGTAACCCTTAATCATGTCATTTTTTGAAAGTAATTCACTTGTGTCCTAATGTGTAGGTGATTTACAAAGAACAAAGAACAAAAAGAACAAAGAAAATTACAGCACAGGAACAGGCCCTTCGGCCCTCCAAGCCTGCGCCAATCCAGATCCTCTATCTAAACCTGTCGCCTATTTTCCAAAGATCTGTATCCCTCTGCTCCCTGCCCATTCATTATCTGTCTAGATATTTATTAAATTACGCTTTCGTGCCCGCCTCTACCACCTCCACTGGCAACGCATTCCAGGCACCCACCACGCTCTGTGTAAAGAACTTTCCACGCATACCTCCCTTAAACTTTTCTCCTCTCACCTTGAAATTGTGACCCCCAGTAATTGAGTCCCCCACTCTGGGAAAAAGCTTCTTGCTATCCACCCTGTCTATACCTCTCATGATTTTGTAGACCTCAAACAGTTCCCCCCTCAACCTCTGTCTTTTTAATGTAAATAACCCTAACCTACTCAACCTCTCTTCATAGCTAGCGCCCTCCATACCAGGCAACATCCTGGTGAACCTCCTCTGCACCCTCTCCAAAGCATCCACATCCTTTTGGTAATGTGGCAACCAGAACTGTATTCCAAATGTGGTCGAACCAAAGTCCTATACGACTGTAACATGACCTGCCAACTCTTGCATTCAATGCCCCGTCTGATGAATGAAAGCATGCCGTATGCCTTCTTGACCACTCTATCGACCTGCGTTGCCACCTTCAGGGTACAATGGACCTGAACACCCAGATCTCTCTGTGCATCAATTTTCCCCAAGGCTTTTCCATTTATCGTATAGTTTGCTCTTGAATTGGATCTTCCAAAATGCATCACCTCGCATTTGCCTGGATTGAACTCCATCTGCCATTTCTCCGCCCAACTCTCCAATCTGTCTATATTCTGCTGCATTCTCTGACAGTCCCCTTCACTATCTGCTACTCCACCAATCTTAGTGTCATCTGCAAACTTGCTAATCAGACGATCTATACCTTCCTCCAGATTATTTATGTATATCACAAACAGCAGTGATCCCAACACGGATCCCTGTGGAATACCACTGGTCACAGTTCTCCATTTTGAGAAACTCCCTTCCACTACAACTCTCCGTCTCCTGTTGCCCAGCCAGTTCTCTATCTATC